CGCGGATAACTGCCTTATGAGCCTGCCACACCGTGGCCGGTGATATATCAGGGGTGTTGTTTTGTGCAAAGTATGATATTATTTCTGAGTTTAGCGTGTGGCTAAATTCTGGGTTTTGTAGCAGGGTATCGTTCAAACGCCAGGGCGTTGTTCCTCGGAAGGCAAAATTATCTCTGATTGTTATCCAGATAGCAGCATGGTCTGACCAGGTGATATCGCCTTTATCGCTATGGGTTACGTGTGGTATGTAGTCAATCCTAGAGTATGTATGATGGACAGGTGAGTAGAATGTAAATTCCCGGTCGTCTGGGTGTTGTGTCCTCCAGATGTCATATAGTCCATATTCCGAGAGTAGTCGTGTTAATGCTGCTGTTTGTTTGCATATGCTTTTATATCTAGGTGATGTATGTGGTAAGGTGGTATCTAATTTGGGCTGTAGGACATGGTTGACGTCTCCGCATATAATTTGGGGAATGTGGGTCGTGGTCGGCAGTTTCGCTAGCATCTTGTGGAGAAAATTTTTCTGATTATCGTTTGGCCCGTAGAAACTTGCTATGAGATATTGTATATTGCTTATTTTGCAATGCAGTATGATATACCTGCCCTGTGTATCTCTTTTTAGTTGCAGGAGTTCAAATGTGAGAGATTTATGAATGAGTATGGAGACTCCCTAGATTTGGAGGAGTACGTTGAATGATATTGTGTTGGGTAATCTCTGTAGGCGAATGTTGGGACTCTGTTGTGTACAAAATGTGTCTCCTGCACACAGAGTATATCCGTTTTGTGTTTTTGTGCTTCTTCCAGCAGTAGTCTGCGTTTATGCGGTGTATTTAACCCGCGGGTATTAATTGATTGTACTTTAATCTACTAAGTGCGGATGTGGTGTGATTGCTAGGCGTTGAAGCATACAAGTAATTTGTCTATTGTTTACGGCAGGCTGTGGTGTCGTGGGAGCTTGCATTAGTGAGGTGAGAATTATGTGGTATTTCAATGTTAGGATATTGGGTCCCATTTTTTGTTGCGTGTTATCTCTTGTGCGTGCGCTGTCTAGTTCTGCGTTGGCATAGATGTTTCTTATGTGTTTTGTTGATCCGATGGAGGTATTTACGAGGGGTTTAAAACTTGGAGGGGGAGGGATAACTATGTACATTGTGTCTCGTTGTGAGACAAGGTGTGGGTTTGTCACACCATGGGGGTTGGAGTTGGTTTTTATCTCCATTAGCGTGGTCCATGGGCTGTATTTAGAAGTCACTGCATGATGTTCTATGTTTGGTTTGGTTGTACGTATCTGAGTAGGACAGTTATGGAGTCGGGTCTCTACCCACATTTACACTTCAAATGTGGACCCTCACAGGGTATCCACGTTCGGGACAGGGGGCGGCCGCGGCAGGCCGGTTTGTTAACGGACCCCAGCAGGATATCTCCATGGTTTGGGCATACTTGTCATCAGTTTGGATGTCGTGGAAGTTATTCCTGTTGGAGGCCACTGTGTATATAGCTAAATTATAGCTAGTCAGTGTGTTACGTCGTCCCTATAGTTGTTGTTCGGGTAGGGGTCAGTCAGAGGGGGCCTTCCTTATTAGTAGCGTGTTCATGTTAGGTTATGTCACTGTCTATAGTGAGTATATCCCTACCTTAAAACTCTCTTATCAAATAGCATATTACATTACATCTCCCAAGTCCCTCCCCCTCCTTCCCGGCCATTATGTATTACTTCCCTTCCGCTACTCTCTTCCCTCCCTCTTCCCTCTCTTTTGTGGTTTAAAAAATAAAAATTAAACTGAGGCTAAAATTGAGAGAAAAATTAAGAGAGAAGCAGAAATAAAGCCAAGTCTCTCAGTCCGTATGTCTTTGTGGGTTTCCATGTGGTCCGTCATGGTGTCCGGTCTCCCTTGCAGGAGTACCTGAAATAGTGCATGTTTCTTACCCAAGATGGTCTCCTATCAGAGACGCAGCCCTGGGCTTGGGTTTCCCGCATCGGTTCCACTGCTCTGCCTTTCTTCGTCACAGGGGATGTTGGGAGCCCCGGATCCAGCAGTCCATCCAGACTCGTGCAGAAGCCATCCCCAGCCGGAGATGCAGCTCCAGATCCGGCTCTCCCGCACCGATAACCCTGCTCTGCACCGCTTCGTCACAGGGGGGTGGCGGAAGCCCCGGATCCGGCGGTCTACATCGTTCAGCGGGCCCATCTGGTCCCAGGCCAGGCCAAAGCAGGTTTGTGGCTATTTTAAGAAGAGTAGTTCCTTATGGGTCGTGTTCGTCGTGGATGTAGGCTACGTAGAGTATTTTGTCCGATGTGTGCCGTTAAACCAGGGATCGTCTGGTGTTAATGTTTCTTTTGGTGCATTGTCCATTCTGCTTTAAGCTTTCCGTTTGTCTTTGGTATATTCTGGGGGTCAGGTGTTAGTTGTATGTCCCAACTGAAGGAATATTGACCCCTTAAGGACACATGACATGTCATGATTCCCTTTTATTCCAGAAATTTGGTCCTTAAGGGGTTAAACAATTAATCTGTCAGTATTGTATAAATTGAATTATTTTGTAAATGTAGTAGAAAGCTCTTTTCAGAACTTGCAAAACATAATTGAAAGGAAGTCACAAGCTATGACAGTTTCTATGTATCAGGAAATGCCTAACCACAATGTATATGTGATATTTTGTAAGATTAGATTATTGAATGTAACATCAGAAACTGCTTCCTCTTTTATGTATCTTGTGTAACCTTTTTGTAACCTTTTGTAACCAATATTCGTGACAAATATTGTATAAATACAGAGCATTTTGAATACATTGTCAGAAGATTATGGAAAGCAAAGAGTGTGTGTCTGGTTAATACGCTTCCATAAAAATCTTCCCTGAATATTCAGCTGACAATCGAGGGTTGGAGAATAGTGACCAGAGGGACCGAGTCACCAGAGTAGCAGATTTACCTTTCAGCTTGGTGTCAGAAGTGGGATTGTAGCCAAAACCATTTTGGGTGAGTAGTAATTCCTTGTGTCTATCTTGACGCCCTGAATCTATGATCCCCATGGTTTTGTAAGTCTACATCATTTTAGGAAAGGTTATTTAGTATATGTGTTTTCTGTGACTCAGTTTTACATAAGGTCCCGTTACATTAGTCTAGTAAGGGAACTAGACAGAGAGATATATGTATTTCTAGTAAGTGAACTAGAGAAGGTCTAATAAGAGAATTAGACAGATAAAGTCTATAAAGTGATATAGACAGAGAATTTAGTATATAAGTGAATATACTACGATAATGTGCACAGAGTTTCAGGTTCACCTTGTCCACCCTCTAATTGTCATTAGTTAAGTCTGGTTGTGAGTGTGAATAAGTGTTTGAAAGATTTGTCCTAGGAATGGGAAATTACCATTCAAGAATATGAAGTAGTTAACTTTTCTTGTTCATATGTATTTTATGCTTAAATAAGGTTTATAATCAGTAGTGCTGACTGTAAGGATATGAAATAGTTAAACTCTTTTTGCTTTATATGCTAGCCCTGGAAATATACTCACTGAGAATCTTGTTAAAGCACATTTGTAGTGTCCATGTCTTTATTGCAAACAATGATTCTCCATCAATTGGGTGATTGTCTATATTGGGGACACACTTTGGTAAGTTAGTAGTGTGTCCACCCTGAGTCAGCAGTATGGGAAATGTGAGTTCAGGTCCTGAGTGACCAATATACATACATAAGATACCAGTACTGTATATTAGAAAAGAACTGACTCGCAGGTTGTACCTGATAGACCTACTTAAATCTTTTGCTTTATTCTTTCTGTTGCATATAAGTATAAGTTTATTACTCTGTTGTATTGTAAGTTATTTCACATGGGATCTGTGTGCCTGGTATGATTGTTGCTTTAATACCATAAGCCCACTACACTTTCTATGAGAGTGGGATAGTGTAAATGTGTTGCATTGTTTGCATGATGAGCTCAGTATTTTTATAACTGAGACAAAAAGTCACATCATTAGTATTTGAAAGTTAATTCCCCATATGGGATTAATTGTATAGAATACCAATCAGCACATCTTCCCTGCCCTGTGTGTTTGTTGCAAAGGATCCATACTGTAAATATGATTTTTGTTTGTTAATAAGAGAGCAACATTTACATTTTCAGCAGTCCAACACATGCTTCATTTTGAGCTGTAAACTAACCTTTTTATTGCAACAGATTCCTTTTAAATGATCCAGTGTAATAATTACTGCATATGTTTTGTGTCTTCTATGTCTCACATTATATGTGTTCTGTTCTTTTAAATTGTGGTATATAGCCTGGATCAGAGATTATGGACAAAGATTTCTACCTGTTTTACTAAGGCTCTTGGAGACTGACCGGTCTAAGGTTTGCCATGCCTTTTAAACATGGTATAGAATCATTTTTTTTTAAGTCTCTGAGAGTTCTGTAAGATTCTGGTGAAACCATGTCTGTGTAATCTGGTCCAAATGTTTGCTCAATTTCTATAAGATTTAAGTTGATGCAGTATCATCTCAGATTAGTTAATGGAAGTTTCATAAAATATTTGAGTTATGAGCGCGCTATATAAATGGATCCTTTCTCTATATACAATACTATAGTAGATTAAAGTAATGAAGTTAATAAGAAGAAAAAAAAAGTATACATAAGAATCCCTAAAATAAATCTAATATAAACTAAAATTGGTATACCTTACAATAATATGTTCTGAGTACAGCTGTTAACTGTTTATTCTGTGTAAATGGTGACTGTGATAATGTGTGAAGTGTGCAGCTTACCTGGAAAGTGGTTTAATTTATATGTTGCTGTGTTGTTTTAAATTATATTTGAATCAGTTTGTCTCAGTCTAGTGATACTGATAAAAATGCCAGTCAAATAACCCAGCAAATAACGGTTTTATTAGCTGTTGAATACTAGCATTCTGGCCAAGAGTAGTTTGAGTTGGAGTAGTTCTATGAGCTCAGAGAGGCTCTGTGTTGTGGTCTGATATAGCTATATGGGAATGGAGACTTGGAGGGGTTAGTTTAAGACTGCTTTCATATTGTGTCTACCTGTGTTTCCTAGGAGGGACACAGAGTGTGTAGTTGTGTGCTCATGAATGTGTTTTCTGTATTGGCATATCTGCTGGGTACCCAATACGTGTATCTACTACGTCTGTTTTGTGAGATGACATGTAATATTACATTGAATGCTGAGTATGAGTTATATGGTTTGAAATGAATTGGTGTGTTATGTGTTTCATGTATTTTATTGTCCATTGTGTAGGAGTTTAACTATCAGAGTGATTTGCATATCATTAACGCAAGCATTTAGTGTTTTTACAAAAGGTGAAATGCTGTCCAGCCGGCTAGAATGAAACAATTGTATGCTATCGCTCATGGAGCACGAAAAGCGCTTGTTACATCCCACGTGAAAGGGGCCCCGCAAACTTCTGCTGTTCAAATCGTGGCTCCACATTTCCATTTGCAAACTGATTAATCCTGAAAGTCATTCTTTTACTGATAAAAAGGATTGAATGGACAAGATGTCTCTCCCTCATAAAGAGGTTCTAATAGGGGAGTATTGTCCAGCTCAGAGTTAACTCTATTTTTAAAGTATATTGCATTGTTTGTGTCAAAGTAAGATTCATCTAGTATGCCTCATTGATTATGGGGTAATAATAACATGGTATTTTAATAGAGATTAGACAATTTCTGAAATTTATAAGTGAGGTAATTTTAATCGCCTAAACTACTGTATTATATTTGTATGGGTAATTTGAAAGCATTTTGCAGATCCAGAAGAGGATTAATAAATAATATAATAATCTCACTAGGTGCCAAATTATGCAAAGAGGCTATCCAAAGTACCCACTAACGGGTTAAACTTGTTTTCTTGATAAGTGTGTAACATTTAGTTTTGTGGTTAGACTTTTGATACTCAATTTGAAATATGTCCCAATTACATCCTTGCATGGCACCAGGTACAGGAAGCAATATGCGTTTTAAAAATTTGCAAGGTCTTAGTGTTTTCAATATATTATAATAATGGAAAAGTACCTAACTGCATGTCTGCATTACGCTCATGACACAGACTGTCAGTATTGCAAGCCCTATATGAAGGCTATGCTTTCATTGTCGATGTATATACCCCTAGACAACCTTGCTTTATATACAAAATTTAACTATCCATTCAACCTTTAAAAGCTTATTAATATTATATCTGTGTGGTACACAAAGAGGGGGTGTGAGTTAGGTAATCCCATCCTGCATATGGAATAAAGGCAGAGGTAGAGGATGCTGAAGTTGTTACCTCTACAAAATCCCATCCTGCATATGAAATAAAGGCAGAGGTAGAGAATGCTGAAGTTGTTACCTCTACAAAAGGGTCTAACTTTTGTAGAGGTAACAACTTCAGCATTGGTGGAACACACTGTTCTAATTGTGGATAGCAGGGTCACTGGAAAAATGAGTGCCCAAACCCACCCCCACAGATTCCTCAATACCAACCATAGCTTCCAACCTATACCCACACCCAACAACCCCAGCCTAATACACAGATGGTTCATGTTTGTAATATTTTATATAGTTTTAGGTGTTAATCCAAGAGTACTGAATTATTCGGGATTATTAAAGTAATTAATTTTGAATATCAAATCAAGGTTCCAGTTTAGGAACAGAGTTTTATTGGGAATTATCCCCATATGTATATGTTAGTGTTTTAATATTCATCCTAACAAGGATTTCTATAGAGTGAGTGCTACTCTCATCCGTACAAAGGCATTCCAAAGGGGTATTATGTAAAACTTCAGAGAAGACAGATTGCATAAAATTTAACAGAAGTACATGTTACACAAATTAAGGGTTTAACCTTAATCTTTAATTTAAGTTTTAGCCTAGGTAATTAATTAATTAATGTTGTATTGATCCTTGTGTTTGTATGATTGTAGAGACCGTCCTGGAGTGTTTGTGCCGCCTGATTTCTGGGACTACACACCAATCTCTCTGGCTGACCATGCAATAAGTATTTTGCAATTACATCTGTTTGGTCATTATCCATGCAGGCCGAAGAAACTGAGATACTTATTTATGAGGACATAAACTTTGCACGCAAGAACCTGGAAAGTCCTGAAGGTGCAGTGCTGTCTAATACCGCTGGTTCTGTAATAACCCTTTCAACCATTGGGGTGTTGCACAGAGCTTTGTGGTGAAAATCCAGCAAACAAAAGAAGAACTATGTGGAAGCTGACATTGTCTTGTTGTCAGCCATATTGCTACCCTTAGCCATTTTTATGGAACAAAATGTCTGGTGTCTAAACTGATTTCTTTATACTCTGTGAAAGACTTATTCTATTTTTCTGAACTATGCTGAACTATTGAACTATTTTTATTTTTATTTTTGTAGAGTTAGCCAGAGAGAGAGGAAGTGTTAGCTGACCCAGGGACGGATGTACTATGTGTGTTTTTGATATATGTTGAGTGTGCCAGGGATGGATTCCCATGTTTTGAGGAACTGCGTGAGGATATGACTGGTTTTGACTGGACTTTTGGAATAGGGAAATGGTTAAAAGATATAGGACGCAAGGTCCTGGTTGTGCAATAATATAGTTGCTATAAGCCCAAGTTCCATTCTGTCTTAAACATCCATTTTCTATATATCTGTCTGCAAAAGTATTAAGTGTTTTTTGTTTTGTTTTTTTTCTGCTGAGTTTCTGTTTCTTGTAGCCCACATGATTGCTTGGGAATGTCATAATGTGGAAATTTCTCTGTCTTGGGAGAATGTTAACCGATGATATAAGCAATATATATTGCTCAAAGAGGGGTAACAATTGTGATTATTGGGGCTCAGTTGGATGGAACACCGGGACAGATTGGGGTTATAAGCCACAGAATGCATTAGATAAAAAGGATACGAATGGGAAGTCCCTCTTGACTAGAATGACCCTAACAAAGCCTATAGGGCAAACTGGGCACTCCATTAAATTTACCTTAAATATTGAAAACCCCAGTCCTGGAGATCAAGGTATTTATATTCTCAGTACCTTTTTAAGAGGAGGTATTGGAGGTAATCGAGGAAAAATCCAGTTAAAAGATATATGTAACTCCTCAAAATGGGAAAGCCTCACCTCTAGACAAACTCTTGTTAATCCTCTAAAGCCCCACATTCAAACCCTTGGTAATATGATGGCCATAGCAGATCCCACGTTTGGAGATACCATAGCGTTGGAAACAGGATATGCAGATACAAACCTATGGCTGGAATGGATGAGATATAATGCCCATTCCAACAATAGGTCAAACTGTTATGTATGTGGTAGTGCCAGACCTCATCTAGGAACTGTACCCTTACATGTCCCTGATGAGTACTGGGAATGTTTCCTAAGTTTGTTTTCAGGTATCACTGTTAATACTACAGGATGTGAAGAATGGAAAAAGGGTCACCCTATTGGTGAACCCAAGTTTAATTTAAATGATGTTGTCCCAGTATATCCTGGTAATTATACTTGTTTTCAGGGAAATAATAATGGTAAGGTGGGTACACAATTTGATAACTTCTCTTCAGGATTCTGTACCTTAGTGAATCAAACACAATCTGTGGGAGATGTTTATTGAATATGTGGAGATATGAAAATACGTTCTAGACTCCCCACCCCCTGGAGAGGAGAATGTGCCCCAGCCAAAATAATCATGCTCCTCCATATATTTGGCGACTCTCTCCCTGAAATTAAGGTTGTAACTGATTCCACAAGAAGGAAAAGGGAATCCCCACAAGGTAGTTTCGACCCACATATCTATCTAGATGCCATTGGTATTCCAAGAGGGGTTCCTAATGAATTTAAAGCTAGAGACGAGGTGGCAGCAGGATTTGAATCAATATTTCCCATTATAACAGCTAACAAGAATGTTAACTGGATTAATTATATATATTATAATCAGCAAAGATTTGTAAATTATACACGAGATGCATTACAAGGTCTTGCTGAACAATTACAGGCTACCTCACAAATGTCTTTCCAGAATAGAATGGCCCTTGATATGATTTTAGCAGAAAAGGGAGGAGTCTGTAAATTACTTGACTCCGGTGTTTGTTGTACCTATATTGCAGAGAACACTGGCCCTAATGGTAAAGTAACCCTAGATATAAAGAAATTAGAAGACCTGTCCATAGAAATGAAGAGGAATTCAGGTATTGATCACCCATGGGCAGATATGTTTAAGTTTGACAGTATCCTAGACTGGCTAAAGAATATTGCAATAATTATTGTTATGGTTCTGATCCTTGCTCTACTTGTTTATGCTATTTTCAAGATTATTGTATTCTGCATTTACAAACATACACGCAACACTGTTCCTGTAAAATCCCCAGCTTGATATGATGAGTATCTCCAAATGTATACACATAACCGAAGCAATGGTGAACATGCTGATACAGATCTATAAGTTTGTGGTACTGGTCAGATGCCTAGTCCTATGCTATGGGAATAGTGGCCGAAGACATAATGAAAGACCTGCAGGATTGGCTAGCAATCCTGAATATACCATGGCAGATGGCTGGTTGTCTGACCAGGACTCCTTAAATAGGGTATGAGCAAGATATTGCTCAAAGAGGGGAAAATGAAGGAATATTGACCCCTTAAGGACACATGACATGTCATGATTCCCTTTTATTCCAGAAATTTGGTCCTTAAGGGGTTAAACAATTAATCTGTCAGTATTGTATAAATTGAATTATTTTGTAAATGTAGTAGAAAGCTCTTTTCAGAACTTGCAAAACATAATTGAAAGGAAGTCACAAGCTATGACAGTTTCTATGTATCAGGAAATGCCTAACTACAATGTATATGTGATATTTTGTAAGATTAGATTATTGAATGTAACATCAGAAACTGCTTCCTCTTTTATGTATCTTGTGTAACCTTTTTGTAACCTTTTGTAACCAATATTCGTGACAAATATTGTATAAATACAGAGCATTTTGAATACATTGTCAGAAGATTATGGAAAGCAAAGAGTGTGTGTCTGGTTAATACGCTTCCATAAAAATCTTCCTTGAATATTCAGCTGACAATCGAGGGTTGGAGAATAGTGACCAGAGGGACCGAGTCACCAGAGTAGCAGATTTACCTTTCACCAACCTTGTAATTTCTGCTCACCATCTTCAGGTGTTTGTATCACCGTTGTTTTTCCTTCTTTTGTTATGATAAGTTTTGTAGGGAAACCCCACTTATAACGGATGCCATGCGCTCGCAATGCTCCTGTTACCTGGGAGAACTCCTTCCTTCTCCGGAGCGTGGCTGCAGAGAGATCCGCATATATCCGGATTGTGGCATATTCCTCCGGCGGCCTGGCTCGTGTTCTGCAGCTTCTGAGTATATGTTCTTTAACATGGAAATAGTGAGCTCTCAGTAATATATCTCTTGGGACCATAGGAGGGATATGGCGCGGTTTTGGGATGCGGTGCATTCTATCTATTAACAGCATATCTGTTGGTATCTCAGGTGCATGGGCTTTCAAGCAGCCCCTAATGAAGGAAGGCAAGTCATCGTTGGGAATTTCTTCAGGGATTCCCCGTAGTCTGAGGTTGTTCCGGTGGGAACGATCCTCCATGTCTATTAATTTTTCTTCCATATTCTTTAATTGTGTGGAGAGTTGTTCCACATTGGTAGCTAAATCATTATGCGCTGTAGCGAATTCGTCGTATTTATCCTCCATGTTTGTTGTCCTCCTCCCCAGTTCCTGTATATCTTTTTTCAAAGAATCTGCGGTATGTTGCCATGTTGTTATTAGCTTGTTCGATAATATTTCCAGAGCAGCTGAAAGATCTGCCTTTGTGATTTGTGTGCCGTTTGTTTGTGTGCTGTGTCTTGAGCAATGTTTGCCTTCGTCGGATTCAGGATCCTCGGTGTAAATCGAGGCCTGTTCCACCGGAGCCACAGACGCCGGCTTCTGACTGAAAAAATTACGTTTGTCGGGTTTCGCCTAACCCCTTTTGTTTTTATGTTGTGACATCCTCGTTGAGGGTCGCTGGATGCAGTTTCTGTTAGTAGGATTGTCGCGGATTAGGTGCCCATATGGCGGGGCAGATTTTCATGCGGCCATCTTGCTCCACGTTGGCCACGCCTAAAGGGGTGATTTTAACGATACAAGACTCTTGGCAGGTCTTGCTCCAAGATACTATTTGTCCTGACTCCCAGTCAAATATGGGATTGTGAGAACGTAACCATGGGTACCCTAACACGATGTGAGAGGAAGGAGAGGTAATGACCTGAAACCGAATGGTTTCTAAGTGTAACATCCCTGTGTACATATGAAACGGTTCAGTTTCATGTGTAATAACTAGGGAGCTTAATGGTCTACCATCTATGTCCTCAATGGCCAAGGGTGTCTTCTTCTCTCTAATGGGTATGTTGTTTTTCCTAACAAAACCAGAATCTATGAAATTCTCAGCTGCCCCGGAATCAACCAGGGCTAGTATGTTCCCAGCTATGCAATTCTTTTCCATATGCAGAGAAACAGGGGGAAGTAATCGGTTAAGAGGTAATTTTGGGGACTTAGATATCACACCCAAGGCCAGTCCCCTATATGGCCTTAGGTGCGATAGTTTTCTGGAAGCACAGGATATTTTTTTAGCATATGGCCCTTCCTACCACAGTACAGGCAAAGTCCCTCCTTTCTCCTATACATCAGAGAGTTTGGCAACCCCTAATTGCATGGGTTCCTCCTCTGATACCTTGAAAGTCTCAGGATTATCAACTCTAGGAGTATTTAATGTAACAAAACGTCTATTCCTATTCTTAGTATAGAGTCTGTCACGAATCCTATTGTCTATATCAATGAGATAGTCGATAAGGTCCTCTAATGGGCAAAGCAATGCACTGGGGCCCTTCCTACACAAGAACTCACAGGAATTTGAATTATTGATAGACTGCGGAGCCCATACATACACACACACACACAGACTGCTGAGTCCATACACACACACACACAGACTGCTATGTCCATACACGCGCGTGCACACACACACTGCCGAGTCCATGCACACACACAGACTGCCGAGTCCATGCACACACACACAGACTGCCGAGTCCATGCACACACACACACAGACTGCCGAGTCCATACACACAGACTGCCGAGTAAATACACACACACAGACTGCCGAGTAAATACACACATACACACTGCTGAGTCCACACACACACACACAGACTGCTGAGTCCATACACACACACACACACAGGCTGCTGAGTCCATACACACACACACACACACAGACTGCTGAATCCATACACACACACACAGACTGCTGAGCAGTGGCGGATCCAGGGTCTGATCTCGGGAGGGGCACTTGTAGATTATTTATTTAAAGAAATAATCCAGACACAATAACCACTACAGCTCAGTGTAGTGGTTATGGTGTCAATAGTGCCAGGGATGCAGTGTATGTGTAGGACAGTATGTGTGTAACAGTTGCAGTGGGTGTGTGTATGGGGATAGTGTATGGGTGGGCAGTGTGTGTGTATGGGTGGGCAGTGTGTGTGTGTGTGTGTATGGGGGAGCAGTGTGTGTGTATGGGGGGGCAGTGTGTGTGTGTGTGTGTGTATGGGGCAGTGTGTGTGTGTATGGGGGCAGTGTGTTTGTATGGGGGGCAATGTTGACTGCTGAGTACACACACCCACCCTTCCCCCCAAGCCTACCTGTCTCTGGAGGCTGTTGCTGGGGGTCAGGCAGCCATCTTCTGCAGCAGCATGGTCTGCTGCTTTACGGCAGGGGTGGGGCTTATGTGCGAGAGGTGGGGTTTCATTTGGGGGCGGAGCCTGTGCCGGGGAACCTGTCAGTGCTCCCTCCGGCCACAAACAGTCCACAGCACTTCAGCACTGCATTCCCTGGGGCTGTCACAGACTGTTACAGTCCGAGGGAAGAACATGGCCAGCAAGTTGCCAGCATTTGGGGGGGGCCCAAAGGGGGGCAGAGCATAATGTAGGGGGGCCATGGCCCCCTCTGGCCCCCCCAGCGACGCCACTGGAGGGAAGTGCTCATGCCATTGTACAGAACACTGGTGAGACCTCACTTGGAGTATTGTACACAGTACTGGAGACCGTATCTTCAGAAGGATATTGATACCTTAGAGAGGGTTCAGAGAAGGGCTACTAAACTGGTTCATGGATTGCGGGATAAAACTTACCAGGAAAGGTTAAAGGATCTTAACATGTATAGCTTGGAGGAAAGACGAGACAGGGGGGATATGATAGAAACATTTAAATATATAAATGGAATCAACACAGTAAAGGAGGAGACTATATTTAAAAGAAGAAAAACCACCACAACAAGAGGACATAGTCTTAAATTAGAGGGACAAAGGTTAAAAATAATATCAGGAAGTATTACTTTACTGAGAGGGTAGTGGATGCATGGAATAGCCTTCCAGCCGAAGTGGTAGAGGTTAACACAGTAAAGGAGTTTAAGCATGCGTGGGATAGGCATAAGGCTATCCTAACTATAAGATAAGGCTAGGGACTAATGAAAGTATTTAGAAAATTGGGCAGACTAGATGGGCCGAATGGTTCTTATCTGCCGTCACATTCTATGTTTCTATGTTTCTATAGGTGGCAGTGTGTGGGGGGAGCGAGCAGTATTGCTCACGGCTGAAAGTGAGGGGAGCATTGTGGGGGGTGTAGTTTATTTAGCCGGAAATAAATCGCGGCACTTTGCCGCCGATTAAGGCGGTCTTAGTAAGTGGGCGTGTGCGGCCGCTGGTCAAGTGGGCGGTACGCACACAGTGGGGGGCGGACTTACTTAGAATTAGGGCTGTGATGAAGTGAGAGTCTAGTGACTAGTTGGGAAGGGGCGTGGCTTGATCGATCAAGGGAAAAGTGGGCAAATAATTACTAGCAGCCATCTTAATTATGGTCACAGTGCTGGAATAATAATATTCATGAGTTTAATAAGGTACTAAGGTTAATAATAACCATCTTCATGAGTATGTAAGATAAAACTGTAAAATAGACTATGCTGGTTAATAAAGTCATGTTATAGTGGAGTTTTTGTTGTGTTACAAAAAAGGTGTAAATATAATACAGAATCGAAAAGTAGGATGTAAATATCCATATTGTAGCCTTTTGGAGATATTTAGACAAATACAAGGAACATTTGGACATTAAGTCTAATTAAAATTAATCTAAACCTCTGTACTATGAACCTGCAGAGGTGGTATTGATACAATAATAGACACAGTATGTACAGTGAGAAAAAAAAAATAGATATACACAATGATAAAAGGATAAATTGGCGTGATATGGTTAAACTGGGGGTGTTCTAGACCGTAATGCCGTAACTTGACAACTATGGATAGAATAGCCCCAAGATAACAATGCGCAAAAATTTATAGTGACATTGGAATAAATGCAGTTTTTACTGAGCTTAGATGACCAGAGTACAAATAAAAGTTATATAAAAGACATATGAAGATTATATATAACATGATAGGAATGGAAAATGTAATTTTAAGAGGTGTAACAGTATAAAATCAATTATAAAAAATTATATAGTTAAAAATCTACATTAAGGCCATGGGGGGCTAGGGTCTGCAGGTTGAAGACCCACTCCATTTCCGATCTACCTAGGATATTTTTTATATTTCCTCCTCTCCATGGGATTTAAAAAAAAAAATTATTCCAATGCATTTAAGGAATTTGGGGTCCTGGTTCTGGTTAATAAAGTGTTTGGATACAGAATGGTTCTGGTATCCGCTTTTGATATTCCTGCAATGCTCACCTAGTCTTGTTTTTAAGCACCTAGTGGTCATACCTACTTATTGGAGGCCACATGGGCACTCCAATAGATAAATGACATTTTTTGTATTACATCCAATGAAATCGCTAATATTATAACTTTTGTTGGTTCTATTTGACTTGAAGCTTGTGACCTTGGATTGTGTAGAGGGGTCAGCACTTCTGCAGACAATACAACGTTTACATTTATAAAAACCTTTCGCTCCTTCTAAAAACGTATGATTTGTATTTAGTTTTGTTTCTTTAGTATAGTTGTTAGTTAAAATAGATCTGAGGTTTGGTGCACCTCTGAAAACAATCTTTGGTTTTGTTGGTAAAATTTATTTGAGAAGGTCGTCTTGTTTTAAAAGGTGCCAATGTTTGTTGATTGTTTTTTAAATAAAACTACTCTTATTGTTAAAATTAAAAATTATGGGGAGAGTGGGAGCATCTGAGGTATGTTTATCTTTATATGGCAAAAGGTTTTGTCTTGGCTTATTTCTAACTACCTCTATGGTATCGTTCAGTTGTGTTGGTGAATAGTTTTTCTCAGTAAACAGTTTTTTTTTTTAAAAAGTGATTGTTTGTTAAAATCATCAATGTGAGAGCAGTTTCTGCGTATGCGTAAAAATTGGCTCTTGTGGGCAGTTTCAAGCCATGGTTTGTAGTGGCAGCTGGTTAGGTCTATTGCTGTATTAGTACATACTTTTTTTTAAAATGTTTTTGTGTGAACTGCTCCATTTTTAAGAAAAATATTTAAATCTAAAAAATAAATTGTATCTTTACTGTAGTCACAGGATAGAATGATACCCCTATTGTTAGTGTTGAGGTGGGTTATAAAGGAGTTGAGGGAATCTTCAGAGCCTTTCCATACAAAAAATAAATCATCGATATATATCTAAAATAGGAGACCAGGTTATGTTCCCAGGCATGCCCTCCCCA